GAAAGTTGCTAGTATGTATACACTATTTGTTTGCAGCTATAACTGTAAGATAAGAATAGGATGACAGATCAGGATAAAAGCAATAAAAACGGAAGACTTAAGGAGGTAAAACTGGAGCCTACACATTGATTTTTTTCACAATGAATGAATCAAAATTACTTTGAAATATACACAGAAGAAAACTTCAAACACCTTTCAATAGTAGAAAAAGAGAAAAAAGCCTATCTTGCAGGTGAAATGTTATTTAGTGTGGCAGTGTCACCTTCACTCCTCCGGCTGATCTTGCCAGACTGGTGATTCCAGTAGAGAAACAGGTCTTTAGAAGTAAGACCTGCACAGCAATAATTTCTTTCAGCGCTGTCTATAATGTTTCTTGTCTAAATATTTGTAGCAGAAATTAATAAAGCATATGCCTCCAGGGCTCAGACTAGGCTGTGGGTATTTTTGAGAGGGGATGGCTCAAGCTATCAGGCTATGCAATCAACCTCCTTTGACTGCTGGGAAGCTTTCTTACTTTGAACAAAGACTCTGCCCCAGTTTACACATACAAAAGGCTGATGTGTTTTATGTATACAGAGAGGGACCCAGCTTTCAAATGAAACACCTGTCAGAAGAGAGGGGGAGAGTGAATGCTGAGAGAAGGGTCAGCAGGGCTTGAATTGTTCTCAGAGTGTCAGTGGACCTGTCATTGTCCAACAGGGGCATTTTATTAGTTTGTAAAACATGCTCAGAGCTGGGCCAGCTTTCAAAGGCGCATAGCTAATGGCATTGCTTCTTTGAAAGGGCCAGGAGGTGTGGAGGAAAGGGGAACTTACTAAGAAACTGAGCAGCCTTTTGATTTGCCCAGTGTTACAGCCGCACAGTTATTTTCTAGGGAAAATAACCTGACTCTGTTGATCAAGCAGATGGCACTGCGATATCAAAGCTAATGAGGAAAGACAAGAAAACGAGTGAGGCACAGATAAAAATACAGGAAGACGAACCTTGATTATTATTAGGTTTTAATGTAAAACAGGGGGTGTAAACATTATCAAAGATAAAACATATTTTGTAGAATTCTTTGAGAATGTTATCCTTGGCAATTAAAAAATCAAGACAGGAATGGAGCCTAAAATTATAGGGCTAAGACTGTCATGAACCTGAGGTGAGATTTTCATTCTAGATCCCTATTTCCAATTATTAGAGCTTGCAGTTTTGCACTGAAACTTTGCATGTTTCCAAACAATGTTTTTCAGCTGAATTGGAACTTTTTCTCTCTCTCTCTTTTTGTGTATGCGCATGTATGTGGAAGAAAGAAAGGAATGAACAGGGAAGACGACTACTTGGGCATTTCTGTTGTGTGATGTGAAAGCTTCTTAGAAGTGACAAAGATCAGACTTTTAAAATACTAAAGTTAAGTTGCAGCTTGTACTTGTAAACAATTTTGGGTGGGAGTTATGGTAGGCTGGGAATCCTCAGTTCATGGGGCTTAAAATGAACTCCGCACAGATGTCTAGGAAGGGAGAAACAGGCACGTACTCAGCCTGACTCAGCCGTGCTGCCCTAGTCTCCTGATCAAGTAAATCGCTTTCCAGGCATAAGTCCAACCAGAGCTGGTGGCACGCCTGCCTGGCTAGCCTTCACTGCCAACTGCAATTAGATTGCCAGTAGGCCAAATGAGTGCTCTGTGTGCCTGATAATCCTGCCTACTCCCAGAGAAGTTAATCCGGCAAGTGCATCCTAATAAATATATGCGATGGGGAGCCTAACGGGAAGCATGCTTAAAAACAAAACTAACAGCTCACAGAAACAATTCATTCAGAAAAAAACAGGTTGTAAACTTGACATCTTCCTATACATGACAGTGAAATGTATGACTAGAATCAAATTTTGCTTGAACATAGAGGATCAGTCCCTTCAAACAAACGGGGCTGCTCATGTAACTGCTCACTACTATAACTAAAGGTTCACAATCTGACCCAAACTACAGTTTCTTTGAGATAGGAGCCTCTGTCTTTATTCACTTTAAGATGTAAAGTAACATAACCTAATAAACCTTATCCTACTTACTGAAATGCACAATTTGTTCCTTTTAATTAGATGATGTGGTCTTCTGCTACCATCAGGTATTTGTCAGTAAATAAAATGCAGATACTTGTGGCAACAGGCTGTGGATAGACATCCTTTCCCATACCCAGCTGGGCCAATGAAAGAGGTTACTGACTCCAACAACTTGTCATGCTCTTCCTGCTGGAGACTGTCAGTGCACAGATCTGCAAATAGAGTTGTTCATGCTCCTTAACTCACTTCAGTCACAAAGCAGCCTGGCTAACTTAGGCTACCTCTTTAAACGGCTTCAGCTAGCCTGGTTTGTTTTGATCTGAGCTAGGGAGCACCGATATGAGTTCACCTACCAGTATGTTGGTGGGATAGCGACCTCCAACCAAGTGAGCACTAACAAGCAAGTACAAGCAGCAGCCTGTTCCACCGGGGTAGCGGGATCAGGAGAACAGTCGTCCGTGGCTGTACTGGCCCTTCTTCGCACAGAGGTAGTTTTCATTCAGCAAACAGAAGGCTGGCAGGAATTGATTCCTTCTGATTAATGGTCTTATAAGCAACGGAGATAGAAGTTATATTACAGCAAAAGTTAATGATAATGATGCGATCACCAGTCAAGAGCAAAGGCACTGAAATAGCACCCAGATGTACCAATGAAATTCTTCAAAGCCTTATTAGCTTAAAAGATGAAAATGACTTTTATTCAGGAGGAAAGGATTTTCTTTTTTTAAGATTATAATATAGATAGTTTTCTGCATTTAATTTGCACAGCATTTTCATGGGCAAAACAGACCCACAGTTTCATAAGGTATCCAAAATATGAAATAAAAAATAAACGTACAGTGAAGAGTACAAACTTAAAAAGTAAGGATGTCCTTTAGGCTTAGGTGATTATAATGCTGTTGAGTTTTTGCTATACTCCAGTGGTATCCTGCTGGAATGAGATTCACCCCTGTGCAGAGGGCGAGCATAAAACCTGTAAGTCCTACGTAAGTCTTATGGACCTGATTCTAATTCTATTGAAATAAATAGCAATATTTTCATTATCTTTCAGTGGGAGCTGGTTCAAAGTCTATAAACAGGATTTAATCAGTTGCAAATATGCCTTTTCTGGCGCATTTAGAACAATGCTTTTAGATTTGGCAGTAAAATGCTTGAGAATGAAGAGAACTGGGAAAAAAAATACTTTGCTAGTAAAAGCCTTAACAGTTTTGAAGAATTTGCTTACTGTACTTGCTGGAACCAAAACACTAATTTGTTCCAACATTCAAGAACTATTAGAACATTAAGAAAATGTATTCTAACAAGGAAGATGCGACCTTACCTAAATCTGACTGGCAAATACAGTTAAATCAATTCAGGGCTTTATTTTTACTACTATTCCTGTAGTACTAAGAGAATTTTGGATACCTTAGAGTACTAAACTTTCACATTCTCTCCTCTGACAGCATTTACAGGGTTTCTGTGTGTTTTCCTGCTGTATCACGTACCCTTGCTAGGCGACATGATGGCATCTATTTATGGATCTAAAAAATGCCTGCACAGAAACTCGTTTATATTTCATAAGTTCCAAGTGCTTCACAGTTGATTGCCCATTACAGATGAGAAAGCTTTAGATAAGACCACGTTCACACAAGGCAACGGAGAACTCTGCATTCCAATTTTGTGCATCTTACTGGGGCCATAGCTATATATTTCACCTCATAGCTTGTCTAGGCAAACAAACATGTGGTGGGATCCTTCTGGGATAACATTACACCAAGCTGTAAACTTTACAAGTTTAAAAATACTGCATGTGTGCACTCAGTAAGTGACTTTCCAGGCTCTGAACTTACACAAATGAAATCCAGATTCCAGAAAAGCAGAGGTGGAAGGCTAGGCCTATGACATATTCGTTTTTAACCTTGCCAGTTTTAGCAGCAGGCCATCTCAAGGAAAGTTTTTTTTTTTTTTTTAATAATAGGAGACGTTCCTCTACTTTTTTTTTTTTTTTACTTCACAGGAAAAACTGATAATTTTCCTCTTTGCAAACTTAAAAAATGAAGAACTTCAAACAGCAGCCTTACACAAAGAATTTCAACACCCAAGTGTCCAGTTCAGGAAGTTACCTCTGAAAAACTGAGGTTTTGTGTACTCAGTGAGGAAAGATGCCAACTGCTCTAGTGAAACACCAGCCATTATTTAGCAACTTCCATGGAGGTAGGTAATGAATGATCAAGTGGCCTGCAATATAGCCTCTCTGTTGTCCTGGAGATAGTCTGCTGTGACAAATTAAGCAAGCAACGGTGCAAATCTGAGACAGATTCTGTAACTTTTTTTTTTTTTATAGCCCTTTTCATTATCATGAAAAGTCCACAGGGCTAGAGTACAGCTACTGCTAAGGTCTAGAGTAGCAACTCACACGTTTCAGAGCAGTACAGGGGGGAATCGTGAATGAGGGCACCATGAAAATCTCCCACTCTCGTGTAAAATAAGCATCACAGGATCCTTCCTGTACCTGCAGAACAGGCAATCCTGATGCTCCTGCGGCCTGATCTACCAAACCCTGGAGGGGACAAGGAGTAAAGGAAGTTATGTAAAGTTCAAACCTGATGAAAGAGAGAGATTGACTCAGCCTTTCTGCTGCAAATCATTCATTCCCAATAACACTTAAAATGGCACAATGCCATATAAAATAATCAGGGCAGCCTGTAGTTATCCTGCACAGATCTTTCAGAATAACTCACATCAGAGTTAAAACTCAAAATTAACATCGATCATCTTTAGAGATGAATAACCAAGACAACTGGCTTGGGATTTAAGGGATCAGCTAATTATGCAACAGCAGCAAAAAACCGTTCTGCCTCAGTTTCCCCAATAATAAAATGGAAGTAATGTTACCTGCCCTTTCTCAGGAACCAAAAATAATAAAAAAAAAACCCCACGAATAAGAAGCACTACTCCAAGAACTACCACCCATATCGATGGACAAAATTAATTGGCAATCCTCCTCAAAGATCAACGGAGAGGGACCAGAGTTCAAAGCAAGCGGTATTGCAGGAATCAGACGATACGTGGGGGAATAAGCTTTAAAAACAGCACAATCCGACTGCAGACGAGAATCTAATATAAGCACCAGCTGGGCTCAACGCAAAAAATTTATCCACCTTTGGGAACCCGTGTGCCTCGCCTGGCTCTAAGCGGCGCAGACACAGCCTGGTTTGGACAACAGGGCATGGCGTGCTCCAAAAAAGACCGAAAAAAAAAAAAAGAGAGTTAAACACCCCTTTCCCCTAGGGCGCAGCCCTCGCATAACGACGACACCCCCGCCGCGACCTCCGCCTCTCGCTTTTAAGTGTATTTTCGCTTATCGTCACGCCGGCGGTGCTTCCCCGCCGGCCCTGGCCAGCGCGGCTCCCCTGCC